CGCTAGGGGCTCCTGGCCTTACCACTAGGAGCAAGGACGCTACTAGGGGCTCCAGTAGTAGGCCAACAACGACTTCAACAAAGAAAAGTCGCTACGACGCGACATGCGACGCGAACTTCGCCGTGCTGAGCCAAACACCACTTTGGGGCTTCTTTTTTGGTCGCCTCATCTAGCCGCCTTTGCGCCTGAAATGCACTCACTCCAAGGGCATCCTGTCATCTCAAAGCCTCCTTCCTTCGCAGTTCGTGACTGAGTTGCATTCCTCCCTTTGAGCACGAACCAGCTCATTCTCCAAGCCACCAGGCCCTGCACCTGAGAGGAAGACATCCGAGAATCTCACAAACAGCTCTGCGGCCAGGAGACTGTGCCTTCAACCTCTTGCGCTGACTCCCAGCATGTAAGGTTCCCGACCTTGTCAGATCTGAAGTCTTTAGAGTCACTCTATATCAACAGCCTCTCAGATCTACAGGGCACTCCCTGTGAGGCCCCAGCAGAAAGTGCCGCCACAATAGCGCAGGCGTGACCAATGATATGATCGGCCTCCAGACAGCACAAATCACTACAAGGGCAGCGGATTCGAAGTGAGCTTTCAACATATGCCTTCAGATCTGCGCTGGTGGAAACCGCCGCCAAAAGCATCCGAGCGTATCTGGGTGCCTTATCAATTTTTTCCCCTTATGTCATGTTCTTCACGGCTCGGCCACTAGGAGCAAGGACGCTACTAGGGGCTCCTGGCATCGCTACTAGGAGCAAAGAAGCTACTAGTAACAAAGGGCATCGCTACTAGGAGCAAGGACGCTACTAGAATGGCTCCTTGAGGCGCCTGCGACTGGCAATGCTGCTAAGCCTCACATCGCACCCATGCCCGCACACGTGAAGGGGAAGGAGTTCTCGCTGAGGCTCACACGGTAGCCAAGGGTTGTACACCTACCCCAACAAGATTTGGTGCAAGTCCAAGATCCTGTTACAATCACAGCTGAGTTGACTGCAACTGCTGGGCGAATGCTAAGTGGTGCGCTTCACTACAGCTGCCGTTGCTTTGGAGCCTCAGTTCCGTTGAATTTCAGGAAGGTGCCAATGTACGAAGACAAACAGACTCGGGATTTGGCCTTCAGCCCTTGTACCTTAGGCCGGCTATGACTAACACTCCTCGCAGCATGTGGAGAAAAAGGGATGCACCGTCGTCTTCAATGGCTCCAATCGCACGAAGTCGCCTGATCGCGGCCTCGGAGATCTTTGATCCATAGGGAAAGGCTTTAAGGAACCTACTAGCGATGGCCTCCACCCTAGTAGCGATGGCCTCCAACCTACTAGCGGGCTAAAAAAGTCATTCAACGGAGCAAAGACAATGCACTTAGAAGCAAAGACACAGAGATGGCTTCTGCTGGCGGTGGGGTCGGCCTAAGTTTCCGTGGTGCGTGCGTTCTTAGCCGGCAAACATTCAGCCCATGGGGCCCACCACGGAAACACGTCAAGGCGTGGAACTCCGAGAAAAGCCAGCAACAGCCTGGCACGCGGCACTTTTTCGGTGGTCAATCGCACCTCACACCCAAAGATTCCGCTGACACACGCTGCACTGCTGCACTGTTGCCTTTTTTCCTGCAGTTCAGGGCCGCCTACATATGTAACACAAATGGGTGGCACTTGTTGTCAGTCCAGCAGTGTTAACCGTCAGCCAAACAAAGAGAATAGTAGGAGAACGTTCACGACCTCAACCCATGGGGTTGCGGCAGTTTCAACCAGCAATCAGCGTCAGAACTCGTCACCGGCATGCAGCTTTGCTTGCTCTGTCAGCACTATCTTGCAAAAGGTCCATGGCCACGTAACACAGAATCATGAGACCTGCACAGCCACGCTCCATATTGCTGCTGCTTGTGCGAGTCATTCGACAAACTCTAATCAAAGGCCTCCTTTGTCCTTCTTTGTAGGCTGTGTAGGGTCTAACTAAAAGGGAATGTTTAGTAGCCACGGCCTCCAACCTAATAGCAAAAGGAACCTACTAGCGATGGCCTCCAAGCTACTAGAGATGGCCTCCACCCTACTAGCGATGGCCTACTAGCGATGCCCTCCTCTGCCAGGCATCTCAACAAAAGCTCTGCGCCCGTCTGCCTGCATCGACTTTTGGTCCAACCTTCAAGACCAGCTGTGGCAAGCCTGCACAGAAAGGCAGCGAATGCATGGGCCAATCTTGCAGTATTTTCATGCCTGATTTCTTATGCTGAAAGCCTCAGGGCGAGAGGTCGAGGCAGAAGTTATTTACCGTTTTTTTGTGTTTCAACAACAGGTCTTCAGTCTCAATTTACCCTATGGTTCACCTTCTGCATCTGGCCCCGTTGGGTCTGAATACGCCAAGAGCTGCCCCTCATCATCCGACGCGTTGATGCTTCCAGGTGAGTTGTTCCGAAATCCTGAGACCCGCAAAACGAAAACACCGATCCAAAGCAACACCATTGAGAAGTTAGAACGCCTATAATAGCCTGCAGCTATCTGGGAACTATGGGCGGGAAGTTCCTTTGGTGATGTTCTGCGTGACCATGACGTGGGGTGCTTTGCGCTGTAGTGATGCATAATTGGAATAATGTAGTGCAGTGCGGGGTAAGTTGTCATGTGGTGAGCAGAAGTCTCTCTGTAAGGATCTCTACTGTTCTGCACTTTTTTCCGGAATCTCTTCTTGTCTGCACTGCCCTCCAAGAGTTACAATAATAGTTCTCCAACTACCTCGTCTTTCTGATACTTTATATATCTAGAACCATCTAATTTGGTCCAACAACTTCGACTCTGCTGACTGACCAGCCTGTCGATATGAGGTCAAGAGTCAAAACCTATGTTCTTCTTAGTAAGCTTCCAACATAATACAGTCAGAAATCGTGTTTGATAGTCCTTATCGTCTACAGTGCCTTGACTTCCCATAGTCTTTGCCTGCATTTCCGTGATATGTGACATGCTTATAGGTCTTGCAGGGCTACCAGTTTTGAGATGGACCTTGTTGGTTTACTGCGCTTTATGCACACCTATCTCTCTCTACTCTACTTGAAGCATTCTTCACATGTCTAGATCGCTGCCACATGTTTCTCTGCAGAAGCCGCTACTTTTGGGCACGCTTCTCCAGAAAAACTCGGCTCTTCTATACTCGTCTTCGGGAAGCTACTCTATATGGCATCTTGCCTTTACGCTATCTATCTGAACTACTACTCTCCAATCCATTTCTCTACAATCTACAAGTCTCTTCTCTAAACATGTTCTACATTCTACTTGTCTCATTATCTTAAAACCTCCACTTGCACTTCTCTCGAGGAAGCTCTACAGTACTCTGTACTTCTGTCGTGGGATCTCTACTCTTGAGCACTTCTCCAGGGATCTCGATTTTTCTGCCCTCAGAATCTCGACTTTCAATACTCCTTTTGCTGTAAACCTCCACTTTGTCTACTGTGCTCAACCCTCTTCCAAAATGAAAACACCCTACAGTCAGCATGCCGGGGTCACGCCCGCACCTGCGAAACCACCAGCACCCAAGCGCTTGTCCAATTCCCTGTCGTGCACGTGCAGATGCCAAACTACAGGAACTCACTCTCTCCGAAAGCTACTTGAGGGTCACTTGGAACCGGGCCTGCCGCTCTTCTCTCTATGGAGAAAACCAGTGGCACCTTTGGAGCACTATATATTATATATATAACAATAATAATCAAGATTAATATTATATATATAACAA